TTAATAAAATTGACAACGTTGCATCTCAGGTTACCCTAGAGAAGTCGTCGGAGTCCAGCTCTCACGATGTTTAGGCTAGAGCCCGGCGACTCTCTTATCACAAGCGATTTCCGTTACTTCGCTGATGATGAATTTTATTCATCATCAACGAAGCAGTTAAAATTTTTGAATTAAAAATTTAATTAAATATTATAAATTTAACGGGAACGTAACACTAGTTTAATTTTTTTAAGCACAGGACTTTATTCAAGTCTTTAGTTGGAATTATGAAATTTTTATTCAAAAAAGTTAGCGCAAAAACTGTCTTTAATAAATCATCATCATGAATTATTTTCAGATATTTAAACTCAATTTATATTTTGCTGAGAAAAATTTTTAGAATGTTTATTAATAATAATACAAGAAAAACAGTAATAGGATTCAAACCCGGTTAAGCATTGTTATTAAACGAATGTGCGAGTAATCCAGATTAAAAAACACTTCTCGTGCAGAAAAGTTTAATTTCATAAATTGAAATACTACAAAAATTTTTTTTAATTTTTGAATCATAATATAATAAATAAAATAACATAATACTCTTTGTAAGGCGCGCAGTAGCCTATCGGATCCGGCCCTTGCTACCAAAGCATTGGACCGGGTTCGAGTTCGGCGTACACCAATGAATATTTTCAATATTTAAGTGTATTATTCTGCTCAGCCCAAGAAATACAAACGAGTTCCAATCTCAAAAGTTTACCCCCTACCGTAGTCGCTCATGACCTTAGTAGTTTATGCGACTTTAAACAAATTAAAAAAAAAAAAAAAATAATAATATTGAACAAATAGCCCCATCTCAATATTTGATTAAAAAAAAAAGACTCATTTAACCAAATAACTATTTATCTTAACTTTTTGTTGATCAGCTGTTCAAATTCAATTTTAATTATTAAAATATTTCCTTTGAATTATTGGAAAGAATAAAAATAACGAGCATGTTTTCAAACACAACAAACGGAACTAATCAACCGAATCATTTAACAGCTGTTGAAACTCTTTTGGGGAACAAAACAAAATTTTTAAAAATAATTACAAATTCGTGTTTTGGATATTAACAAGTTTTAAATGAAATTTAATATTTTTAGTATGAAAATTATTTAAATTTACAGCGTGTATATAGGAATAAAATAACGCACGTTAAGTTGTGATAAAAAGAGAATCAATTATCCGAACAAAAACAGTTTCACTGTAAAAAAATCGCGCCAAGTCCACGTTCATAATATAAGACTTTTAAGAAAAAAAAATTTTTTTTTCTTTACAAAAAGATATAAAATAAAAAAATTGAAAAATCCAAGTAACCGATATGATTGTATGTAATTTTTGGAAATTAAAAAACATTTTGTTGTAAATTTAAAAATTAAAGAAATAATTTTGGAACGTATTTAGTGTGCGTGGTTGCAAAATATTTTACTTTTTATGAAATTCGTAAAATCTATCTACTAAGACTGAAAAGAAATTTGACATACACAATGACGCACACCAAGTACGTTCCAAAATTATTTCTTTAATTTTTAAATTTACAACAAAATGTTTTTTAATTTCCGAAAATTATATACAATCATATCGGTTACTTGGATTTTTTAATATTTTGATTTTATATCTTTTTGTAAAGAAAAAAAAAATTTTTTTTCTTAAACGTCTTATGAACGTGGACTTGGCGCGATTTTTTACAGTAAAACTGTTTTTGTTCGGATTTTAGTATTTTTTGTAATTATAATAAAAATTGACAATTGGTACCAACTTAAATCTCGCGTTGGCTGCATTTTTCATAGCAAACTATCCTCTTAAAGCTGCAGTTTATGTAGAAATAATTCTAGCGCACCCTGGTGGGTGTAGGTGCAAGCTGTGAAATATCTTTTTCTAACTATAGTTTCCCATCTATAGAAGGATTACCATGCATTCTCGAATTATTTAGTCTGTGGCATATCATTTTCTCCATAAGAAAAATGTCAGGATCTAAAAATCTGGGTCGCTATACTTTGTGCTAGTGAATTTAATTAATTTTAAATAGAATTTATTATTTTCAAAGATTATTATTAATTAATATTGATAATATAACATATAACGTATTATTATAGAGAATACGTTAGAAAGAAAAAAATATACTGTGTGGGTGTAGGTGCAAGCTGTGAAATATCTTTTTCTAACTATAGTTTCCCATCTATAGAAGGATTACCATGCATTCTCGAATTATTTAGTCTGTGGCATATCATTTTCTCCATAAGAAAAATGTCAGGATCTAAAAATCTGGGTCGCTATACTTTGTGCTAGTGAATTTAATTAATTTTAAATAGAATTTATTATTTTCAAAGATTATTATTAATTAATATTGATAATATAACATATAACGTATTATTATAGAGAATCGTTGAAGAAAAAAAATATCTGTAGAATTAATAAAATTTTGCAACCTGAAAATATCGTTCTGCTTACTGTAAACACACTCGATAGTCTCGCGCTCCGTTTACAACGGATTTGAACGGAACTTGGCGCCAGATTCTACCGAATCTGTGGATATGAAAACTCGTGAAAAAATTTTCTGATATCGCCAAAGATGACCTTCCTGAGAAAAACGGATTAGATCTGATGGCCATGTATAAACAGATCTGGCCAGGTCTGGCAAATATAAATATATCTGGTCAGACCTAAACCTTTTTTCCCGGGTTGTGATGAAAATTGATTATTTCAGGTCATATATATCCATTAGAATGATTTGTTGAGGATTAAAAATGATACGAAAATTATTATTAAAATTTGTATGAATTTTATTCGCCACACGGACATTCATTTGTGTACCCGAAAATGAACATGTAAGTGATATTAAAAAGTACATAAATTTTAATAGTAATTGATAATTATTTTTAAATGTTAATACATCAATATTGTATTTAATGATCTTCATAATGTCATTTTCAGTATTCCCATAGTTATCAATGTTGTGGTAAATTGATGTGTCAGCTATAAATCACGATGAAATTATCGTTAATCAATGTTTTAAAAACTCAATTAGAAACAATTTTTTTTCAATCGCATATGTTTTAGCTTACTTTTGCTCGAATAAATGCCAAAATTTTGCGAATATATTTATTTAGGTTAATGACTTTGTGAATTTTGCAAGAGACAATTTTCGTAACATTCAATTTAGCATACAATTAATAAGTGAACAATCAGTACAAAGGATTTCGCAAGGTACATCTGCAACTGAATCAACGAAATTAGATCGATTAACTAAAAAAAAAAACGAAAGATTTAAAAGTTTTGACTGTAATTTACAGCTTTTTAATTAAATTAAACATCAAGTTTAAGATTTACAAATGAATTAATTAGTTGATACCCAATGATTGAATATTTGGATTTCTTTTGAAATCACCAAAAAATACCGTATAAATAGAGTTTTATTTCATGCTTTAACACTTAAACTTTTCTTCATCATTCAGTAGTTGCATTAAACGCCAAGTAAGTATCAATTTTATTTTGCACTACTCATAAATTCAAAGCATTGACCCGGGAAAATCGGATTAGATTTGGCCAGATCTGCCTTAGCAAATTTTTTATGGAGCTTCAAAAAACTGCGTCGAATGCCGCCAACCGCGTGAAAATCGATTCATTCATTCAAAAGTTATTGCCGTTTGAAAATTCAAAAAATTGTTTTTTATTAAACTGCTATTAGAGTTTTGAGCTCAAAGAGCTCAAATTGACACAAAAAATAATATTTTTGAGCTCGAAGAGCTCAAAAACGTAATGTATCGTTTGGAGCGCTTAAGTTCAAAATGAGCGAGAAGTTGCAGTGATGGCCTTTAGGGTCAACCGTCATCCTAATTTTTTTTTTCTTGTAGTTTATGAATGTTTTTGTTGAGTTTAATAAGTTTTATATCAATAAACATAGCAGTATTCTCTTAAAAAAATGAATAAAACTAACGTTAATTTTCATATATCCAAAGTAAAATAACCCCTTAACTGACTTAAAAATATTCTCGATTTGTTTTTAAACTTACATTCGTGCAATCTGAACTCTTAAATATATGAAAAACTATTAATTTTTAATTTCTTTTTTTTTCTTTAGGTACTTGTAACAAAAAACAAAAAAAATGTCAAAATTGATAGTTTTGTTTTTAGTAGCTTTCGTTATGATAGAAGTTATCAGTCAGGATCAAGAACCACCATGCACGATAGGTGGAAATAAGGTAATGCCTAGAAATATAATTTTTGTATGTCTATTTCTTCAGAAAATATTAGAAAATTAATAATGCTACTTTTTAGTGTTCTACGAGCACTGAATGCTGTAAGAGATCATGCAATTATGATGATACTGCTGGTTTCCAGTGCGAAAAATCATCTAAGGAAGAATTAGATGTATTCTATCAGATGGCGAAATATTATAACATCACTATGAATGTTGAGTAAACGTGGAAGAAGTCATTCATAGCAGTAAAAAATTTGTGATTTTTAATTATCACCTGTGAATTTATAATAAAATTAATAAAGATAGTTCTTACGCTTGTGTCCAATTTGTGTTTCGTTTTTAATATCAGAGTAATATAGATAATTTCTATATGAATAAAAATTTGATATGTAATATCTTAAATTAAAACAGTAAGAAGTAAGTAAAAAGATGAGTAATAATTGACTAGCAGGTAGTTCCTATTTAAATTACTCGTCAGAGTTTTATAAAAATTTAATGTAAACACTCAAAAAATTTCTCAAATGGCGCAGACTTCTTTCGTAAATTGACAGAGGTATTAATGAAATGTAAATGTATGTAATATGCATATAAAATGATAAGACATGTACAACTAATGTTATGCAAATGATCATCATATTACACGGAAAGAAAACAAAAGTAAAAATTACAACAGTAAGATCGTAATCTGAAACTATACTAGTCTTTCATTATCTTAACTATTATGATTTTATATTTTAAAAATTACTATTTACCCATGAATTTTTACAATGAGAAACATCGTAATTCTTACAAGTGATCTAAGTAATAAATAACAAGAAAATTATACATTGCTACCGCCAACATGATACAATTTGAATTATTCAAAATTTTTCACCAAGTGCAAACATGGCAGATTTATTAAGAGGAAAATTGAGGATATTGAATCAATAAATTGATAAAATTTTATAGTAAAAAATATATTGTTTTTAAAAATTATTGAATAACTTTTTAATAAAATAAAAATATTTTTATTTAATTTTAACGACTGCTTAATAATTATAATTGTTACGATAAGAGCTGGCAATTTTGATTATCAACTTTAACCAAGGTATACAGCGGTATACCTATAGACTCTTCAATGCTTGGTTAACTTTATCAGTGTAATCACTGATCTAAAGATCAATAAATAATAGTTTAAAAAAACTAAAAACACGCTTTTTACAGAAAACTAAACTAAAAAATAGAAAATAAATTTTAGTAAATTTAAATTAAGAATAGTGTTAAAAATTTCAATCAATATTAATTAATAATAGTGTGAATAAAAAAAAATTATTTTATTTTAAAAAAAGCGTGGGTGCATGGTGTCAATAGTTATAAATATTTTATTGACAGATGTGAGTAGAGTGATTATCATTTTCATAATATCTTAAAAAGCACCCCACGCTTTTTTTAAAATAAAATAATTTTTTTTTTTATTCACACTATTATTAATTAATATTTATTGAAATTTTTAACACTATTCTTAATTTAAATTTATTAAAATTTATTTTCTATTTTTTAGTTTGATTTTCTATAAAAAGCGTGTTTTTAGTTTTTTTAAACTATTATTTATTTTTTACTTTTTAGTTTGGTTAATTTATAAAAGCGTGATTTTTTAGTTTTTTTAAACTATTATTTGTTTTGTAGGATTAAAATTCTCGTTAGTATTCGAAAATTTGTCAATATTAAAGAAACTGGCTAAAGATAATTATTAGAAATTAAAATTAACATCAAGTCCTGTCTTATCGACTGTAGAGAAAAATTATAGGCCGCAGGCGCGCAAATTACCCACGGAGAGTTACATACTGACATACTGACATACTGACATACTGACATACAAATGAAGCTAATAAAAAGCGTGTAAAAAAGTACGATGATACTTAGTCAATTCTTTTCCCGTAAGAGCAATTGAAAAAGGACGCATATTATGTTCAAGTAGAAGAGACAGAGCTCAATAATTTGCGACGCCGCAGCCGAGAAATGACAAACTTTTGTCCAGAAGGTCTCATTAAGTAACAGAATAAAGGTCTCGGATAGCTTAAGTGGAAAAGCCATTGACGAGTAACCAAAAGAGAACCGAGTTCGATTCCTGTGTCATCCGAATTAATTTTCCGGTGACCGGAAGATTTTCACCGTGTGGTCCTCCCATTCCCTTTATCTTTTCTTCTCCTCTTTCCCTAATTTGGCGTAATGACAAATTACCATATTAAATATGGTTAAAAATTTTCTTTCTTTTTAAATTGAGTGTGAGGTTAAACAGTACAATTCCTTTAAAAGAATATACGATGTTGCATCGTATATATTCATATGTTTGCGCTCTGGTCTGGCACTGAAATGTCCTATACTAAAATGATTACGACGTTGCCATAGTAGTTTTAAATTATACCTGACAGTCATATCAAATACATAGAACCTTTTCTAAAAAGTTGATTACGGATGTTTTGTTGTTTTACGTCACTTCTATAACCTTTTTATTCGGTTGGTGATTGGTCAACTGAGATAATGGCGGGATTTTCGAAAGAATGAGGACGCACATTGCGCATAATGTATCTAGTGATACAAAAAGTACGCGGTTAGAAACAAAAATTGAACTTATCATACAAAATTTTTTTAAATTGATTAATTGCCATTTTTACATTAAAAAAGTGGTTTTTATGACTTATAGGGTGGATTTTCCAAGTAGTTACAGAGGAGCAATGGTTACAGAGGCACGATAGGATTTGAAAAAATTAATTTTTCAACTCAATTTATTTGTAATAGGAAATAGAGATTTTTGTTGGATTTTTTTAAGCTCTAGTCAATCACAAAATTGTTAATTTATTTCGGCACTTAAAAAATTATACTACTTATTCAGAATATTTAATTTTCTTGAAATATAATTCAATTTATTCCCACTAAGAAACGATAAAAATTACATAAATATCGGTTAAATTGATAAAGTAAATTACAATAAACGCTTTTAATAACGAAAATTACTAATTCATATCACTGATGTAGGTATGGTAATGTACGATGCATTAATTACATATCAATGATAATGCCTTTTTTGCTTGATGAATCGTGGCAATCTATATAACCGATTGAAATGATTCAATAAAGTCGAATGATTGAGTCATTATTAATACAGAAATGTCAGAAAATCCTCAGATGAATTCTGCAAATAATTATTTAATATCAATGAAATTAATAATAACTTCAGAAAAACAGTAAAAATAATAAACTTTGATATTTTTTTCAAAAAAATTATCCCAAAGACCATAAAAGACACTGAAAAAATATCACCCGAAGACATCTTAAAACTCCTGATGGGAATATTTTTGAAAAAATCTTTCCGTGTAATTCTTTTCTATAAAATCTAACTACCTGCAGACGTTTTTTATTTTTAGTATCATTTATCTTCACAATTATTCCACAAAAAAATAAAGTCCCTGTTTGATTTCTACAAACACTGAACATTTGACCAATAACCCGCGAAATAAAATAATAAACTCCGGTGATAATAAATGAAAATACCTTTCCAAATTATCAGTCAAAGTCTCGGACTTATCAGCCGGCAACGGAGTGTAAAGGTCATCCATGGTGATTCCATTGCGAGCTCCTCTTTTGAATAACTCCAACGTCCACCTGGAGCGAAACAAAAAATAAAAGATCTCCAATCTCAAACAAATAAATAAAATACAAACCAGAAAAATAATCGGCTAAGGGGGTTCGCCTTCTCGATCGGATTTTTTCTCAATTTATCCGAGGCTGTTTTTTTGGTCATCCTGACGAACTTTCAGTCGACTGACACTCAATCGTAACACTTAATTGACACTTACTAGACGCGAACCCATAAAGTCGCCTATTACTTACAATAAAACTTGAAGCTTGATTTCATAAAAGCATACGCTGTTATTAAGCACTCAATAAGAATGTCTCTGATTCAGCCTAGACAGCTAATAGAGACCAATATGTTGAACACATCAGATTGTCCAATCATTAATTACTGAGTGAAACCCTACTTAGTATCATTGGAAATAGATTCAATTAATTTCTATCGCATCCGCGTTCGCGTCTGGTGTGCTAAGGAGAGCCTAGACATTCTTACCAAGATATTCATACCATATAGTACAGCTCAGTTCCAGTCTAATACATTTATCTTCGTTCGACAATTTAAGCAATACATCGAGATATTTAATCACAATTGATTTGCATCAATGCAAGGTCGATTATTATATTTTATCGTGAATCTCAATTACTCAACTCAATATTTCGAATCGTATTATCAATCATCTTTCAAGCGTTTACGCTTGAGTGCGGATGATCATTTACATTTACAATTATTCATACTCATTAGGTTTTAAATATTAATGAAAATAATGAGATCAATTAACTAATGTCGTTTGCAATGTGTGTATCTTATGCAAGCTTTTTGATTGTTTCATATAGCAGAAGCTTGAGATAGAATTACGATATTTAATATTTTAATTTTCCAAGCATTGAATGAATAAATCAGTCACAAATATTAGAAAAATTACAATACAGGATCATACCTTTGACATACGAAATGAATTGTTCTACTTTCAAAAATTAGCTTACGAATCTTCAGTAAATGTTTTGATATTCCTATTGTATAATATACCATCTATTAAGTAGAACGACCTTGGACCATAAAGTAAAGAACGCAAATTGGTAAAGTAGAAATTTATTTACTGTTATAACATAATGTACTTTTATATAAAAATTATATGTTGATCGGTGACCATATTGATCATTACTGGCAAATCAAAATAAATAAGCAAAAGCTATAACTTCTCTGAAAAGAAAATTTTATTCAACGTTAAACAATTTCATTTTTTCTCTATACTTCTACGCTCTGTTAGTCTTTTCCTATCAATTCATAGTAAAAAAACTACGAAATTAATTTTGTAGAGATTTCAATGCTATACAAGAATTAAAAATTAAAAATTTTCTGATGATATAGTTATTTTAAAAATTAAAAAAAAAATTATTTTTCAATGCATTTTAAATGAAGAAGCTCCCACGCCCGTGTAAAAAATATCGTCTTAAGTATATGAGTCTTAAAAAAATCGTTTGTTAAAGATCTTAAACGTGACCAGACCAAGACTATTTTGAAACTCTTTTAAGACGCCAAAATAAAATTCCGAGAGCAATTTTTTGAAATTTGGTTCTCAAATTTGTTATGAAAATTAATTTTTTGACATTTTTTAGACGATTTGGCAAGTTTTTAACCACAAAATTTTTTGATACGCTCTTTTTAAATTCAATATGAAATTGTTGAAAAATTATTATCCGACAATTTTAAGACTGTTTTAAGGGGACCCGGTGGTCTAGCGGCTAAAATTTAAGCTATTTTAAAAAATTTTATTTCTATATAAAGATAATGACTAATGCTTTCAAATTTTTTTTTACACTTATTCTATTACTTATCATTTTCTGAAAACAAGTTTCAGATTCGTACTTTTAACTACGCGCCATTTTGTCGAATATTTTTTTTTTTCATTCTAGTTCCTGCGATAACTATACTTATAATAATTAAAAATCCGTCATTATTTTTTATTTCAGATCATAGGGAGAGATCAATCACACCCCACCAGTGAGGTCCATTTTTTTGGAGAGGGGAACTTCAGCGCCATTTTTCTAATTTAAAAAAAATTTTTTTTTGTCTTAATTTTCATTTTTGTGTAGTTGATAAGTTATGAAATAAGTGTATAGCAAAAATTTGAAAGCATTAGTCATTACCTTCATATAGAAATAAAATTTTTTAAAACAGCTTAAATTTTAGGCCGCTAGACCAGCGGATCCCCTTAAGACGCTTCGTTTTAATGTTCCGAAGCTCAGTCACTGTGAGCTCATCTTAAAATGGTCTTTAAAAATTTTCAAAGACTATAGCTCAAAGCGACAGGGCTCCGAAACAGGGACCCGGAAGATTAAAAAAATCTTAAAATAGTCTTAAAATAATCAAAATAAACTTTTTTAAGATATTTTCAGTACGATTTTTTAACTTCCCGCTAAGAAAATTGAAAATTTTCAAAAGTTGGGTAAATGTTGGTTCTACCCCGTTTCTCGAAAATCGAGTTTCCAACGAATGTTGTCGTTTCGCGATCCTAGGAAGCTTCCCCGAATGTTTCCGCGATGATGTCCGTATGTCTGTATATGTATGTGTGTGTGTGTGTGTGTGTGTGTGTGTGTGTGTGTGTGTGTGTGTGTGTGTGTGTGTGTGTTCTCGCTACGCTCGTCTGGATAAATAATTCGGTCTCGATAAGAATGCGCCCATAGCCTCAAACTCATGACGTCACTTCAACCCGTCGGAATCCCTATCTTTGCGCATATGTATCAAAAATAACTACACAGTAAAAAAATTTTCGTCAAATTTAACACAAATATTTGTGTTACTGACTGTTTTTATACAAACTAATGTTAATTCTACATTCTAGTGTTAAATCAACGCATAAAAATGTGAAATTCTATACACTAGAGTGTAATTTTCTACACAAACGTTTTTACACTTTACACATTGACGAAAAATTTTTTACTGTGTATTTTCTAATGTGGTTTTTTTGGATTAACTTTGAAACGACTTTACCGATCGATCCCTAAACTAATCAGCTTTTAATCTTAAAAAACCACGTCGAGAGCCGCCAGTCCGGTCAAAATCGGTCGGTTTGTTCGTGAGTTATCGTTGTCGAAAGAAAACCGAAAAAAAGGTTTTTACGGAATTACTCCGAAATTTCCAGTTTAATCAATTTAAATAAACATTCTTCATGAGGCTTAAAAAACTGTGTCGAATCCCGCTAACCGCGTAAAAATCGGTTCATTTATCCAAAAGCTATTGCGGTTTGAAAATTCAAAAAATAGTACTTTATTAAACTTTTATTAGACTTGTGAGCTCGAAGAGCTCCATAGCATAGAATAGCTAACTATTTGAGCTCGGAGAGCTTAAAATAACACATAAATTATATTGTTGAGTTCGGTGAGAGCTTTAGAAAATTTTTCCACATTTAGAAAATTTTTCAGCAAACGGTAAAAACGATTCATTTTTAACATTGATTAAATGAGATTTGACAGATGAAAATATTTATCTAAAAATAGTTATTAAACTATTTGACCTTTAAAATTTTAATACGACTTGCATAATATTGTAATAATTCCATTTTTCAAAAAAAGTCAATTTGTCAAATTTTGCGGGATACCACGTGTTAGAATGGCAGTATCGATATATAGTCTCACATTCAAGTATTGCCTTTTGAAATATCCTGATATGACTTGATATAGTATTGCCCATTTTAACTTATCGATCAAAAGTAGTGACATTTCTCTTGGAAAAAGAAAAAAAATTTGAAAAACTAGAATAAATTATTTTTTATTTACATATATAGCCTGATATAACTATGTATGGTCAGATAATATGGCCATATCAAGAAATTTTTCTATGAGCTTGTATTTAACAACTGTTCAGAGAGAACTTACCTTATGTTTGACGTTAAGTTAATCGCAACTATTGATATTTAACTCTAATAAGAAAACAGCTGGCCATTAGCTGTCTGTTCATGAATTGTTAAAAGAAACTGGAGCTCCAATCGATCAAGTTGAACTCTACTTATGACCGTAACAAACTGCCACGTCAAACACGAAGAAATAGGTTACGGACTAAATTTTGGGAAAGTGACTAAAGAATGAAGTAAAATTGAAAAGAGATTTATTTGAGTGCATATTCAATATTTGATTCAATAGTAGTTGATATTCATAATACTGGTAATTGAAGATCATAATTTAATATATAAAAACAATAAATTTGAAAAAACTACCTAATTTTAACAGTTGAAAAATAATTTTCTTGAATGTCTATCAAAAACATGTTATGGCGTTAAAGTAACATCTCAAAACTAAACGATTCTTTTTTCTTCTCCAAGTAGATCTTTTTGTTCTTGTCAGCGGAATTTCGGATCTACTTGGAAGGTTCTGGAATTTCAAAAAGTATATTAAAATAAAAATAAAAAATAAAAAAATTGAGTCCGGATAAAATTACCTCTAATGACGGTGAATTAATTTTGATAAAATCCGTTGATTCGTTTGAGAAATTATTCTGTTGCAAGCTTCGTGCCAATACACAGGTAATCATAATTACAATTATAAATAAAACTTTAAATTGTGACATTCTGTACTAGTGGATTAATCAAAACTTCGACGATTCTATAAATATAAATAAAGTTATTATTCTACAAATGAAGCTTCTCATTAATTAAGTATTAAAAGTTATAAATAAAATGAATAATTACTTTTTGATCAAGACAAATGAATCACTGGAATGAGTTTTGATTGTTATTAAAGTCGTTCATTAAAATTTTAGACTATTTTCAAGTTATTCTAACTTTCCGAAGATGTGAGTTCACTAACAGTGATTAACAAGTCCCGCGATGCCCGCTATTTATCATTTTTACTAATCGTTAAAGGCCATTTAAAACGGGTGAAAAACAATTTTTAATAGCTTTTTAATAACGACTGACTATTACAAAGATTATTTTTAAATTAAAGGTAATCAATTTCTTTACTTGAATCTGTCGTTGAAAGTATTCTAAGTATATTAAAATCCATTAAGACGTACAAAGTAGATTACATGTTCATAATGTAATTAATACATCACTAAAATTTATGTTGCGTTTTTTTTTTTTAATTAATAAATATTGTATTACACTCAATTATTTCTATTAATAAATATAAGGATCTGATTATACAATTCGTGGTTGAACTGTAAGAAGTTGTTAGTAGAATTTGTTGGGAATCTCGCTAATAAATTTGGTCTTATATTAAAGCAGAAGTTTTCAGAAATTATTCCGTCCAAAAATAAATGATAGATATTTCTTCACATAAAAATCGGAAGAAACAATTATAGTTAAAAAATATGAGGTTTGATGATAAAAATTGATTCTTTAAATTCCTTTATTGACGAAAATCGGCTAAAATTAATTTTTGGGCAAAACTTGTTGCAATTTGATTGAGCTAATTTCGGGACCTAAAAAAATTAAAAAAAACCTATCTTCAACAAAAAATTTTGAATGAGTCGACAAGATTCATTGAAAAAATTAGAAAGTTTTCCAAAGTTTCTTATGAGCTTCAGAAAAGACTTTGAAAAATAAAAAATAGCAT